GCTTCAGCACTGTGGTCCGTTTCATATGTCTGTTTGCATTACCAGTGTTAGCCTTCTTAGACAGATGCTAGCCTTGTTTCTGCCCCTTCCCCCTGCTTTGCAATTTTTTCTCTGAGCCTGTAGACAGGTTTTTTGCCTTTGAGAGTGGGTATTCACGCTATACTCCATCCGTGGCATTTGTAGGGCCCTGAAATCTTCCGACTTGACCTTCTCCCTTTGCGATCAGTTCGCGTCCGAAAAGATGTCGATGGCAAAAGGCTGGTGAAAGAAGTTGCCAAGGCGTTGGAGTGGGATCCAGCCACCACTCGACTGTGGCAGGTCAGCCATCGGTGAGTTTTACTTTTCTCCAAACGCTTTGTGTGTTATTTATTGAAGTACTCTGCCCGATTTCCACCGTTTTCCACCTTGAACTCACTACTTTGTCTTTAGGCCTTTGTTTACGCGCGTTTGTGTGTGTGTGTGTGTGTGTGTGTGTTTGTGTGTGTGTGTCCAACAAAACTGCATGCTCGTAAATATGGGCTTTCTGAAGTCTAAATAAGTTTACTGCAGTTGCAAATCGCAATTTTGATGCAATATCTTTAAATTATAAGTGCCCTTGTGTTCTGTGCAATCATTGACTTGCCCACGCAACCTGTCGGCTCATGAAAGAGGTCAGGAGTCCGCAGGATACTGTGTTTGAAATTAACGAGGCCATAATATTCAAGACTGAAAGAGCATGCCCCGTGACTTAGTCGGTCACTTGACTTGTCTGTGGTTCATTACTAGAGCGTTCGGATCAGTGACTAAAGATCACGGGTTCCAGTCCCAGGTGATCCACCCCTAAGGTTGGATAGGACTGACTGATGACAACTAACAAGCAGGAAATAGCCATTCCAACCTCCCTTGTCTTTGTCGACACTATTATCTGCGTGTTACTGTTCGCCATGCGACTGTTTGCGAAGGCTCTAGATTAAACGCTACTCCACCATGACAAGATGGAACCGCTTGCTGGTTGTTTGGTTTTTATACAAACATCGATTGCCATGCGCTATTTATGTACTGAGTTTGTGCAAATGAACCAGATTCCAGGGTTTTGGAATGCTCGCGGTCGAACAACAGCCTGCCCTAAGGTGTAGATGAGTTTCCGTTTATGACACATGCTCATCGGTTTAATCGCCTGCCAAGGTAACTTTATATTATGTGGAGACACGTTGTTTCGGAGACATGGGAATACTTCGTCGATTTCTTCACCCAGGGACACTTCCATCCCTGCTGCTACTTTAGACGTTGGGTTATGTCTGTTTTGTAAGACTGTTTGCATCCTTTTGTACCAGTAGTAATGCTGTTGATGAATTGCGCTGGCTTCTTTTCTGCTCGCATCTGTCCTCTTATCTTTTTGGATTGAAAAGTCTATTTTCACCCCCAGTTGCAGCCGCTCCAAGTGAAGCATTTTCTTTTTCCTTTATTTCAGTGAAAAGGGAAGCCATTCGATTGAATTTAGCCTGCCCAAACTCACAGAGCCCTGTCTGAGTTCCACGTTGATATTTTGGGCCCAACAAGTTCCAGCGAACCCAACTGACGCACCTCCTCTCTCCGTGACTGCCGCATCACCTCCGACAAGTCGGCTCTTCTTTTTTAAGTTCTTCGACCCCAGTTCTTGTACCCTCTCGTTTTGTGGAAGCCTGGAACTAAATAGCACAGTAC